GTTAACTAGTCAAAGGGAAGTCAATATAAGACAATCGCGCCAATATAAGACACTATTATTATAAATTTCACTATGACACCTGTATAAAATTCCTGATCTTGTAAAATGAAGATATATATGGAGCATTCTACATCAAATGAACTACTTTTTTTGATCGAATAAAAATAAAATGACAAAATAGAAAACGAACGCCTTTTTACCAAAAGAATGGAAAAATTGATGAAACTCATGATCACAAAATTTTCTCGTATTTTTTCCTCAAAAGAATCTTCAACAAAAAAAAACGAAAAATTATGGGAAAAAAATCGTCCCCATCGGTCAATTTCGGAATGCGTCGAATCGATGTGGAGTGCCCCATACAAATAAGGTCTAATTATGAAATACTAGTCAACAATCATTCCGATATATATATATATATTTTTTTTTCTGTCTTTTGAGCAATTCTCGAATCTTCAAATTCACTTCTACCCCAATGGATGAGAGGCATCTGAGAAACTTCTATTCGAAAGAAGCAGTATCTCCCTGAGAGACTGAATGCATTATTCCAACGAAAAATTTTTGATCTGCGTTCCTGAACAAGTTCCATTGGAGGCCTCAGGTGATCGAAGTGTAACTTTAGTTATTGATAACGAAAATCATACTTACCTCCGACTAACGCATTACGGTCAAGTTGAGGACTTTTGTGGGAAATGAAGTAGTGAATGGTTTTTGAAAAATATTCCACTTCTCCTAGTTTGGAATGACTCAATTTTCAATGCCTCCGAGTTATTTATTAACCATTCTATGGTAAACATTAATAATCTAATCACTTATACTTTTGTTATCGCGGCGGATTAGTAGTCGTTGACTCGACAACACATTACATTTTCAATTAGGACCGTATAAGTTAACTCAGCATGGACCTGATGTAGTTCCCCGGATCAGGTCGGGGCTAGGATCTCCGTATAAGATCCCACACGGGTGCCCGGTACAGGGCCTGTCTTGACCACGCGTTACATTCATGATCAGGACCATATAATTCAATAACTAGACACCAACCTGATATGAATGATGAATTTGACAGCGTTAATAGAAGTCTAAACCACTTCACAGTCGAAAATAGGAATCTGATCTCAAAAAAAGAGAAAAATTGAAATATCTCCAAAACTTTCAATTGAATGGTATAATGGTGGAAGAATTTGCGATTATAAAGTTAAATATCTCATGAACTACTGGGCCGATTTCGCCCACCGACAATACCAGCCTTCGTTACCAACGGCGCTATAATCATACAAAGTTTGAAGTTTTTATCTCAATTATTTTTTGAGTTATCGTGGATACAAGCGATTTTTTGAAAAAAGTGAAAAAATAGAAAAAAAAACCCATTCTCCGTAGTGGATTCATTAGGTTTTGATACAAAAAGATAGGTATTATCAAAACAAAGATTTTCGGATAAAAAAAATTTTAATTGATAAAGCCGTTGATGAGATATTCGTGAAAAACCATTTTTGAGAAAATGCTATATCTCAGGAACCACTTAGTCGATCAGGCTGAAATTTTGCACATGTCTGTCTCCCATTAGGACCTATTATGAGCCAAAATTTCAGATTTTTCGTAAAGACAGTTTCAGAGTTATTGATGACTTTCTGGACAAATGCGCATGCACACACACACAGGCACACACATACATACATACATTTTAATACTCAAGCAAAATTAGAGAATCGAAAAAAATTGCGATTACAAAGCTTCCATTCGGAAGCAAAAAGGTCAGAACAAATAGATAAAATTGAACCGGACATGAATTTGCTCGGAACCATACCTTTGTGCTAAAAGAAACATAGACAACCATATATACATATATATATATATATAATTAAAAAACAAAATTTTAAGTGTATTAAATTTTTTAATTACTAGATTTAATCAATTTTTAAATTTTTCAAAATTAATAATACATTATATATGGTATATATATTATATATACTATAAAATTCTAGNGTGCTAGGTGGGCGTTGTGCATTTTTTTCAAAATTTTAATTTTAATTACGGTAATTTCCAAAAGAGTGAAAAAACTTTGCCAATCTCTACACTCCGACTGGAGCGTTCGAATGCTACCAAAGACCGCTCATTTCATTCTCAAATCATACTCCAGAGGGCAGGTGAATTTTTTTTTTAACGTTCAATTTATTTTTAATAAATTTTTAAATTATATAATAGAAAAATCAATGAATTTATGATTAATGAATTAAAGAGATTGCCTTCAATGATATTTACAATATATATATATATATATATGTTTGTCGATCGATGACTTTGAGGACTTGAAACATAACCCCTTTTAATTAATAGTAATGGTCATTATACATCATAAAAATTTAATATCTGCGAGATCCTCCTGCTCAAAAAGCTCTTTTAAATTGAAACACCATAAAGTGTATACTATGAGGTCATATATTTCTCCGTGACCAATGTATAGTATGAGGACTCGTATGGAGATACATAATTTTTCCTCGCGCGACTACTATGGGGACATATGTACGATGCATTCATCCGTGGATGGGTTACTTTGAGGACTCCGAAGCTATAATATCAAGTGGCTATTATGAGGACTTCACATTTGAGATAGGTATATTATGGGGACTTGGGTATAAAAAGGGGGGAAACGAGTACAAAATAAAATGTCAGAAACACATGGGAAGCTCATTGACAGCAGCTTCAGTGGAGAATCTCATACGTAATGTTTGATGATCATACAGATTCCATTCATTTTCATTCATCAATCGTCTATGCTACTGGACAAATAAAAAACGGGCTCATTCAACACTAGATTCAATGCATTCTCCCTCAATTTGTGAACCAATCGAGGGGAAATGCATTGAACGTTTTCAGAGGAAAATGACAAGTGTTGTTTCGCCAGTCCGATCATTCATCTCGAGAAAGGACATATCAGAGATCTATAATGCGCCGATGCACTTGCCCAATGTTGCACTCATCTTTTCCGGGAATTATTAAGGGAAGATTTGACGACAATCTACGAAAATTGTGGTACAGAAAAATTATAATTATTCCTCATCAATCGAAAAAACCAATTATTCTCAAATTTCCATTTAGGTTTCAATTCCATAACCTTCAGAATTCAATTACCTTTCCCCTGACAGAGTATGAATTCAGTTGTTAAGTGGCTACTATGGGGACATAATTTTCTCAAGACGTAGTTTATGGGGACCGTCCGTAATACATACGATTATTAAGAGCATTTTCACCAAATGATGACTCGAGCGATATATGAGATGCAACTCATGCCTTTGAGTAATGAAGTATTCTTTATATTTACAATTTGACGTTTCTCCTCAGATTATAACGGCCACATTAAATCATCATTACATCATTTTTATCGGCTACTTCAGAGGAGAATTGAATCTATTTTCCTTTGATTCAATGATGACTCAGCTCTGAAAATTTCCGATATTTTTTTAAAAATAACCTGTTTTGTGGTACAGGAATTCTCCATACGAAAAATTGCTGAGTTGAACTTCATATCACAGCAGTGATAATTTTCATTTTGAGAGAAATAGTGCATTGGAGAATGTCAAGATTCATCTTATGAACATTGAATCATGCATAGAACCGCTACTATGAGGACTAAGTATTTTAGGGACGTATATTATGGGGACAGAAAATAAGCAATATGTATGTTATGGAGACTTTCATCTAAAGGTGATTGCGGGGACTCACACCTGAATGAAGGTGTAGGGAATCAAGTACTAATACGGTTCCCAGTATGATCCTATACACACGAGATAACTCAAGAATTTAGCGAGAGCACATACTCCTTTCGTCTGAATTTCAATAATATATTCCATAATTTTACTCGTCCTGTCATCTATTAATTCACGTTCCCAAATCAATATTATCAGTTCAATCTGAGGGAAGTATGTTCCCGATACGAGCAGAGAATGTGGAGTGACGATGGGTAGAGATTGACATTTGTCAGATATTGCATATTTCTTCTGAGAGGAGATAATTGGGGGAAAACCCAACTCAAGAAATTAGAGCAATGCAAAATTCCAATCGTTCTCGATTCATTTCCTCCATAAAAACAATGAATTAAATTTCTCAAATGAGTACTATGGGAACATGATATTTGTGAGACGTATCTTATGAAGACTGATAAGGTTGCAGGAAATTTCCACCTAAAAGCAGAAATGAGCAGGGCACAAGGTGCTTTCAATTTATTAAAGGAACCTCAAGAATTAGTCAGAAATGTGTCTTCGATTACTCATTAACTCTACTACTGACTCGCGTTTCTTACTGCAATGTTCAATGCAAAATCTTCCATAGTAGCAATCAAACGAATGAGTGAATGGAGGGGAATTCAAGCGAGATTGACTACGAATGTAATAATTATACTCCAATACTTTATTTTCTTCACATTCAACATGAAACGTATATATTTGTCTGCTATGAACTCAAACATTAATCAAACGCGTGAACGAACATCGCTTGAAGGAAAAAAAATGATCATATAATTGTTTAATAAACTGAAAGGAAATAAGTCGTGAGTAAGTTCAAAAATACTTTCTAATGATTTCAATACGAAACATTATTTGAAGATCGATTTATCCCTTTTCTCTTTCATACCAGTATGAAATGTTCAAAAAATGATTAAAGATCCACAACAAACATCAATGCGAATGAACATCGCCCAAAGGAAAAATATGATAATCATATCATTAGTCAATAAACGGAAAGTAAATAAGTCGTATGTGCCTTGAAAAATTCTTTCAAATGATTTCTATCAAAATTCTCTTTCTCTTTCATACCAGTATGAAATATCCAAAAAATTATTAAAGAGTTACCAAAATCATTCTAACGTGAAGAGTTCGTTGAAAATAATCCAATTATCGTTTAATCGAGTTTTCAAAAGTTTTCTTTCTGATAGCTAGAGAAGATTGACAAAAACTGGCATCGAAATTACATGGAGTGGAGTCAACAATGCATCAATTTCGTGTGAAAAATCATTTCTTGGACATTTTCTTCTTTTGGGTGTGTAACCATGTTCTCAACTGAGGGACAGTTCGTAGTTTCAGACAAGTATTTGAATCAATCAGACTCTGCATCTCGGCACCTGACGGCATTTTACCTGCTGTCAAGTGTTTGTTGAATGCTGATAAGACTGTACTACGTTCTTGCTCACTCCATCGTTTGGATGTCGAAGGTTGAAGGTCGGATTGTATCAGAGATTTATTGAATTTACTACCGGAACTAGTGCGGGAAGTACTCGGTTCATCAAATTCCACCGTTGAGACATTCCTTTGGAATGAACTTCCGTCAATTACACCTTCGTTTTCAGAATCATCAGATTCATCACAACCTTGAGCAGTTTTGAGCAGCTTGGAAATTTTCACGATATCGGTCTCCAATACCGGCTGACGATAGATCTCTTTGTGGATCTTCTCGTGATGACCCATGAAGTTTGCTAGGTCTGTCACCTGACCATCTGTGAGATTCAGATTGATACATCTCGTCGCAATGTGTTTCCTCAACTGAGTGGCACGCAGAGTCTGGGGGTTTTCAGCTCGACATTTAGTTGAGTATTCCCTCATGAGTTCACAGGCACGATGATAGCGAAGACGATCTTTATCTGAAGATGGTAGGCCAAACAAATACCGATTATCCGGTGGAACACCTGCTCTTTCTCTGTGCTCAATGAGAAGATTCAAGCAGTTCAGAACGTCATTGTCAACAAGTACAGGTACACCTCGACCAAGCTTGCCACGGATCTCAAATCTCACATACTTTCGAGCGAGTTTCTTACCTTCTTCACTCAAGGCATTGTAGGCTTCTTTGTTTGCTGTGTGATCAAGAGAACGATAACTCTGAAAATCTTCAAGATACAACCGTTCTATCTCCCCTGGTCGGCGACGATTAAAGATTTGCAGTGACAGTAATGTCATTTTTCCAAGATTCTTCCACGCTTCAAATGAGTACGCCTGAGTGAGTTGATTGAAATGCTCCGATCTTTCGCATTTAATATAAGTATGAAATTTCTTTATGTCATCAGTGCTGGGTAGAATAACTTCCTTTCGACGATTATTTTGAGTTTGTGTTTCAGCTACTTCTCTGTTAATACTCGTACCGAAATCTTCCTCTAATAACTTCATAAAATCCTCAGTTTTCCTCTGCTCTACTGACATTTCCTTCTTTATACACTCAGATCTCAGTATTGTACCAATATATTTCAATAGAGTACCAAGGTTCGAGGCTACTGATGGACTTCTGAACGTTCTTAGCTCTGGGTCATATCCTGCAACGTCTCTCACAGCTTCTATGGAGATATCGTAATGGCGAGGATGATATACATCCGACAGCGTTTTGATAGTCTTCGATTTATCAAGCTGTCGAACGGAAAGAAAAAATCTACCAACGAGGCGCAGCTTCTGCTTGACCATTGTATACAAATGTTTATGAGTTCCATATCTCTGGTATTGTTTGTTGGCGAAGAGTATTGCCAGTTCATCGTAGCGAATAGAACGCACAACTTCATCCTCACGCATGTATGGGAAGAGATACTTTCTGGTTGAACCACTGGCCCTTTCATGTACTCGGGAAGCAATTTTTCGGCCCTTCACTACGGCAATTCTACCTTGTTTTCCAGTGCAGCCGGTACATTTCCGAAAATGATGACGTAGAACTACCCTAGAATACTGGCCTTTGCAATTTCCACAGACCAAGAAATCTTCAGCAGTTTTCTGCATTCGGATGTTTGGTCTCCTGCAGACAATTAATTTCCCATCATTGTATCGTCGGTCTGTGTTATATATGTAATCTCCATTTTTCCGAATTGTCGCAATGATATTTTGTCTTTCTTTATTTTTTGGTGGTAAAACGAGAAATTTCTTCACATCGTTTTCATTAGCATGGACGTTTTCCAAATGTCGGGCGAATTTCGACTGCATCTTTAGACAATACATACAAAAATGTTTTTTCGACCCAGATGATGCTTTATCAACTTGAAGCTCCGTATCATCAGGTGCTGAAGCTGGAGGATTATTGTCAAAGGTGATGTTTAGTGCCTGGGAAGATCTCGAATTATTTGGATTTCCTTCTTCCAGGGAATCATCATTCTCCTCCACATCTGACCACTCGTCACTATCAGCCGATTCGTCTCTTTCTGGTGTGTAGTTCCTATCGTCGTCCTTCTCATAGTCTGATTCTTCGGAGTTCTGTTCTTCTCCGAAATCACTCAGCTTTTTTTCATCCTCTTCATTGGAGTTATGAGACACTTCTGGTTCATTCATTGTGGAATGTAAGAGAGGTGATGTCAATTTCTCCTCGCCATCCGGAGGATAATATACACGTATAGAATTATTATTCATCAAGGGTGAATGACGTTTGAGACTTGTCGATCTCCATTTCTCACATACTATTTTATACGATGACAGATTGAGATCTTCGATGTGGACTATTTTTGGGCCTGATGCATGTTCTGGCAACATTCTTTCTGATATTTTTGCAGGAGAGTTCATAGAATCTGAGAGGAAGGCACTCGATACTGCTTCATCCGAATACAGTTATGTGTGAAAGGATCGATTCCATTTTTCGTTTCTCCGGCAAGTGAATCAGCATCGCAACTTCTCAACATTTCTTCGAGGAGAAAGACAGTCGATGACACGAGAGCTTCGGCGAAATTCCTGTGAGTTCTTCCTCATTGTCAAATGTGTACGTTTCATCAGAGATTTTTCTCTGCTTGTCATCAACACTTGTATCAGGTGTGGCTGATGGGGTAATTATGATTGTTCCCTGTGTATCTGATGATTTTTCCTGTGATAGGCGAACAGAGTCATTTTGATCATGACTGGAGGGCAATGTCCAAGTTTTATTACAGCCCAGTACTTCCTTTTCGTCTTCTTGACATGATGCCTGTGATGTTTCACTTTGATTTCCCCCGTCATGATTCGAGTAGGTTTCATTGAGAATGGAACCCGCCACTGTTAATGATTCTTTTTCCTCATCAGTTTGACTCTTTATCTCAGACACAGTATTGTTTTTTGGTGTTTGAACAATTACTCCAGGTATTGATGATGATTTATTCTCACTCTCTTCAAATTCCACCTCCCATTGACCATTATTTTTGTCATTAAGTGACTCTTGGGTGAGGAATGTCTGAGGTTCCATCATTCGAGGTTTTGAGATCCTAGAATTTGGTACTTCAACTGCTACACTCTGGAGATTTATGATTTCAGCTGCTGACGACTCTTCCCATACCTCATTTGGATCCTGTGTCTCAGGCTTATAATTTTTATTTTCTTTATCGTCAGATGTGAGAACTATCTCAGTGTCGATGAGTGCAGGTGAAGAGTTTTTCATCACATCGGTTGGTGTCTGTGGAATCATTCCAGGTGTTGATTGCGACATTCCTCCAGTTCCTCGACATTTTACCTCAGATTTAGCGTCAATTCTGTTAAGGTCATTAGAGAAATCTGATGTGACTCGTATTTCAGATCCCATCACTGAAGGTGTTAAGATGTTCGAATCTGCAATTTTAGGTGTCAAAAACGGGGAGAGGGATTCCTCAGATGTTGATGACAGTTTCTCTTCTTGATGTGAACCCTTTGCTTCCGGTTTATCATGATTGTTGCCATTTTCAGAAGTCATATATGTGTGGTCGATCAGTGGAGGTAACGGATTCTTAGGATCGATATTTGTCGATATCGATTTTTGAAGAATCAGTCTAGGTATGCGTGATGCCTGCTTCTTACTCGCTTGACACTTCGCCTCGGAGGCACGACCGTTTTCCTTATTCAGTGACTCTGGAGGAACCATTGTTTGAGACTCCATTATTGGAGGCGTTGAGGACTTCCAATCTGGAATTTCATCTACTACTTTTTGGAGAAGCATCCCATCTGATATTGATGATAATTCCTCTACATCATTAACAACCTTGGCCGCCGGTATGCTCATGTCCTTGGGGTTATCAGCCGTACGAGATTGATCAAGACCTGTGACAATAGACAATGTGGCCTCAGCATCCATAATTCCATGTTCATGTGCTCGGAGAGTCACCTCAGTTTTGGGTAATACCTCTTCCGTTCTTCCGTGACACTGCACTTTATTCTCACCATCACTCTTATTATTGAGAAACTCTGATGTGATGAATCCCTGATCTGGAATTTCAGCGTCTCGAGTCTGGAGATTCCTCATTTCAGATACATCATTTGGACCTTCTGTCTCAGATTTATCTCTTTCTTTGCCTTCATTCTCAGACGTAGGAAATGTCTTGGTGATGATGAATGCAGATTGGAGAATTGTAGAATCGATAACTTCATGTATCTTGAGATCGTTCATCACATCTGTTGGGGTTTGTGGAGTCACTCTAGGTATGACTGAAGACTCGCCTGCACTCCTTTGACATTGTATCTCAAATTCACTATCAATCTCATTATTGAACGGCTCTGACATGATTGATGTTCGAGATTTCGTCATTGGAGTTAATGAGGTCTTAAAATCTTGAATTTTAGGTGCTGGAGGCGAGAGGGCCATTGCTTCAAATAATAATGGCTGTTTCTCTACTCGATTTGGAGCCTTTGCTCCACGTTCATCATCATTAGTTCCTTTTTTGGATGCGAGAATTGAAGCAGAGTCGATGAGTTCAGATAGCAGTGTATCAGGATCGATAATTACTTGTCTCTGTTTCTCGAAGTAAGTCATTATACTCATCGATGTTTGGAGACTAATATCAGGTATTGATAGAATGGGTTTCTCATCCTCTTCATCCTTTGCCTGAGATTCCCGATCTTTCACCTCATTAAATGACTCCGGTGGGAATATTGTGCCAAGCTTCATTATTGGAGTTGCAGAACCCCCAAAAGTGGAAGTTTCGACCGCTGCACTCTGGATGAACGTTATTTCAGGTGTTGATGACACTTCGTCTGCGTCATTTTTATACTTTGCCTCAGATTTGCAAGTGTCCTTCTCGTCATCCAATTTGTGATTTTTTTTCAGGGCCTCTGCGTTCTGGTAATGATTTTTCCGGATCCAGAATTTCGCGTTCATGTGGTTCGAGAGTTACCTCAGTTATTGGTGATGATTTTTCTGCCCTTCTTTTACACTGCATGCCAGGCACACTATCGCTTCTTTCTTCAGATTTAGGGAACTCTGGTGTGCATGATCCCTCAGGATTCACCGTTCGCGATGTTCTAAATGTCAATGCAGGTGCAGAATGTATCAATCCAGGTGTGGAAGATTTCCCCAAATTACGGATTGCTGAAGACAATATTTTGGGATCGACTGCTTTCGGTTGAGGTGTTTCCGGATTCTCCATTACATTTGTCAGTGACTGGAAGGATAGTTTTGGCGGCAATGACAGTTCGTTCAGACTCCCTTTGGAATTCGCCACAAGCTGACCATCGTTTTTCTTGGCCAGGGACTTCGATGTGCATGATGTCTGAGTTATTGACGATGTCGAGATTTTCGAATTAGTCATTCCTGGTATTAGTGCACAGGGAACTTGGGTCATTTGACTCAGTAACGGCTGCATTCCATCATCCGCAGAACTTACTTCGTCGGTTCTCCCATGGATACCGTCACTGGGTGGAGAAGATTTCCCACGATTCATTTCTTTGGGTTCTAAGGGGATATTCCTTTTGAACACTGGATAATTCGACTCAAGTCTAGTCAAGCAGACTGTGGGTGAGACAACTTTATCACTGTCGTTATGACTCTTGGTAGATGATGATGTCTTGGAGATCGTTAGCTTCGATGGTTTCTGGAGATTTATCTTTCCGAAATCTGGTGTTACTTTTCTATCGGTGATGCGACCCTCAGGTTGATCGTCATTTGATGCGATTAAATTTCCAACAGCTGAAGGTGGAAAAATGCTTTTTTCTGTTTTCCTATACTTTGCACGTGGTTCAATGAAATTATTGCTCCACATTTTATTCCTCTGAGTATGCAGCCAGGTTCTTAATTGAGGCACAGTTCGTCCTTTCAAGCACTCATTAGAATCTATGATTTTTTGCATTTGCAGTCCTGCTGGAATACGATCATCTTTTAAGTATTTTGTAAACGCTGATAGAACAGCCAGACGTTGTTCTTCAGTCCAACGAACCCGCGAGTCAACGGGAGATCTTTTATTAGTTTCAACAGGTGGTGACGATATCGGTTTTTTTCGTTTCCTGTTTCGATTCATCATCAGGGAAGGGTCAGCGTTGGCTTCATCCTCAGTTGAGTCCGTCATTTTCAGTTTCCAGAAACGTGAGGGATGATCTGTGGAAAAAAATCGCCTTTTAAAATGAGATCATTGCATACAGGATAATTCTAACTAACCAATTGAAAACTGATAAAGAGTCTATTAAATTGGAGCATGGAGTGGAATGATACATTCTCAAAATGATTCTTCAATGAATTGTCAGAAAGTCCCTTCCAACTTTTTTTCTATCCATGCTTTTTGATAATCAACAATTTCCCTTCATTAACTCCCAATTTCTAAAAACAATTAAAAAATTTTACATGTACCTGACATTAAGACGGTAATAATGATCACTCACATATTCCACTAATTAATATCTTGAGAATTCGTTATCATTCCACTCATAACTTCATTGATTAGGGAGACCACTCTCATGCTGTCATTAAATTGAGATTCAGTACCCTTTGTCCTTGACTTCAGATTTAATTTTTCATACTAGATGAGCACACTAGTTTTTTCCCCTTGGATTACTCCCCGAATTGTTCGTGACAACTCAAGACATATTTCGTGATAACAGTTTTTCAGTTGACAATGAAATTTATTATTGCGAGATCTCAAAAAACTCTCCACTTTTGAACTTATTGGAAGTCCTTTCGATGGACCTCTTCAGATTTTGTTGGATTGCCAACAGGGGAATTCAGTGCGTCTGATAGGATATCGCAAACGACTTAATTGAAAGAATACAATATATTTAGTAAAAAATCACCCCAGGTAAAAATGGTTGTGAAATTTTATCTAAAATACTTCGGTCTTTCTTC